AAGCTCCCACGGCCTCGGAGAGAGCTGCTGGGCAGGAGGGGCCTGAAGCAAGACCCAGGCCCAGCAGAGAGCATGGGCGTATGCACAGTGTTAGGGCTGACAGACTGGGGTAGGCCTGTCCTGCCAGCCCTGCTGGAGGGTCATCTTCTGTGGCACCCTCTGACCTGCAAGCTACAACTTGGGAAGTTCTACCTCTAGGACGACTCCAGGGTCAATCCGCCCAGTGGAGAGAAATGCTGGTGTGTGACTGAACCGCTCCGTGTGGGAGCTCATTGCAGGTGACAGCCCTGTGGGAATGCTATCCTTGTCCTGTCCTAGCAAGCCCGCCAAAGCACAGCAAGAGCAAGTCGCTGGTTCAATGTCACAGAACTAAGTTCAAGGTGGAGCCAGGACTCAAACTGTGGGCAGCCTCGCCCAGAGCCCTCTCTGCCCTGACATGCTGCACCCCTTCTCCGTCTGGGGCCACACTGGGCTTAGCACATTCATAGGACACAAAGAAGGACATGATGATGTGGCCAGCCGTAAGTATTTTCCACAATTTTCCCATAATACGTTAAGTGTTCTTAATTGGACAGATACGAACCTGAGGGGAGTTCTGGCACTCGGACGGTTCCCTTGACAGTGGAAGACTAGAAGTAGGCACTGAGCCCCAACCCACTCCCTGCCCTCTGGCCGGGGCAGCCCTCAGACTGCATGGCAGATATGGTGACACGTGCATAGTTCACAGGTCTCTGAGGTGAGTTTGCATTTGACTTGCAGGATGCCTAGAACAGGACCACATTCAAGACAAGACCCCCGTCTAAGCCGCTTCTCTCCACGCCTCCAAGGTGCATCTAGCAGGTATCTCCAGCTCAGAGGGTCCAAGGAGAGCCAAAGCACACACGCGAGACCCAGCTCTACCCAAGCCTCCCCACCCAGCAGAGGAAGACTCACCAGCCAGCTGGGGGTCCCCAGCTTCCTCTCCTTCTCTCCCTCCCCTCCCCAGCCACCAGCCAGTGGTGCAGACTCTGGTTTCAGGTGCCTCCAGAACCCCCTTCCTCCCGTCCTCTCCACCACGCTCCTGGGCCCAGCTTCTGGGCACTCGGGCCTCTCTCTGGGGATTCCTGCCTGGGTTCTAGGCCACCAGTCCACTCTACATGGCACCAGGGTGCTCCTGCCACACACTCAGGGCATGCACACCCCTGTACAGTGGTGACACTCAACAAAATGTTCTCCAGTTTTATTATACAGTTTGGTCCTTATTTACACTTTTGGTTTCTCACACCAGAAAAACCATGTGATATTTGAACATGTGTGTCTGATGTATTTCACTTATGAATATGGTCTCAAAGTGCATCCATTTACCTAGAAATGTCTCATGCTTATTCTTCTTTATGGCACAGTAGTACTCCACTGTATACAAAAAACACATCTTCTTTACCCATTCACCAGTTGATGGGCATTTGGGCTGCCACAAGCATGAGTGTGCATATATTGTTGTGGTATGAAGCTTTTCTTTCAGAAAGATACCAAGAAGGGAAATAATTGGGGTCAAATGGAAACTTTAGTCCTATTTTTCTGAGGAATCTCCACACTGAGTTCCATAGTGGTTGCACCAGCCTACACTCCCACCAGAAGTAGAGAAGGGATCCTTTTTCCCCACAGCCCCTCCAGCATTTGTTATTGGTTGATATCTTGATGACAGCCATTCTTTCAGGGGTGAGATGGAATCTCAGTGTTATTTTAATTTGCATCTCTCAAATGACCAATGATGTTGAACATTTTTTCATATATTTATTTTCCTATTGTAAAATGGGAAGAAAATGTTCAAATGGAAAGAGAAACTAAGGAGGGGGAGGGGAAAGGAAGGAAGAGAAAAGAAAAAAGAGAAAAGGGAAAAAAATAGAAGCAAAGCTTTTGTAAATAAGGAGGAGGGTTGAGGAAAGAGAAGGGGAATGGGAAAAAATAATCAAAAAGTGAGACTACCTCACAAAATTTATAGGACTAGAAAGAAAAAAACTAGACTTCCAAATTATACGATTTCCTTATTAGTCAATGTCCTCTGAATAGGAAAGGGGCATATTCATTTAGGCACATTTTATAAATATTCTTATACTTTAGACCATTCAATAAATATGTCAATCTTATAATTTGAAAAAAAAAAAAATGTTCTCTAAGAGAAACCACAGTAGGGGCTGGGGTGGCTGGGAATGGGCACGGAGCATGGAATGCTCCAGAACCACACAGTGATGACGGAGGTCATGAAGATACTTAAAGCCACTGACCTGTGCGCCTGAAGGGGGTGAACGTTACAGTGTGTGAATTATATCTCCATAAAGCTGTTAAAAATGGAGTCCATACGTCTGCCCCCACCCTCCTCCTCTCCGCCCCATCCCCAGGCAGCCCTGCTGTCCCTCGCATTTCAGGGTGGAGGAAAAGGCCTCCGTACCCCTGTGCACGGTGGCCCTCCGCTCTCACTGCTCCTTCTGCCCACCTCAAGTGCTCCCTGCCATTCCTCGGACACTCCAGACCCCACTGGTAAGCACCAGGGTCACTGCCCTCCTCGGAGGTGGCCTTGCAGTTGCCACCTCCAGCTCTGTACCTTGAGCTGCACCCCTTCGTCCCCTCCTCCCGGGCCAGGCCATCCCCTGGGACCCAACCCACCACCGCCATCTGCTGTGTTCAGTGCCGAATCCCTACCAATGGTGACCCATGAATGCTGACTCAGTGACAGGCTTGTCCCCTGGACAGAAGAATGCTCCCGGAGGCCCAAAGGCTTTGCAGGCCACCCACTTCAGGGTGCAGGGACTCCCAGCTGCAGCCCCAACCCTCAGATCTACACTGCATTTAAGGTCCACTTAACTCATGAAGACTCAAATCCTCAAAAGCAGCACCAGAACGACTGGAGCCAAAGTCCCCTTGTGTGAGTGACCTGGAAACTGGTGGAACATGCAGGCCCCTCCCAGGCCTTCAGCCATGAGGGTCCTGGGGGCCCAGCCCACTTCAGAGTATCCCAGCCCTGAGAGCTGGGGCACAGGCTCTACCTCCTGAATGGCCACAGCCAGATGCTATTAAGCAAGGCTTCCCTGTGGGAGGGTGGGTGACAGCCTGTTCCAACCTGGACACCCACATCCAGGCTATTTCCTGTTTCAACAAAGACAGAGGCCAGTTCTCAGTCTGAAACTCTCTAAAACCCCCTCCCACCACGCGTCTATTCATCCTCGCAGTGAACTGGCGGGGACAGCAACACTTAGTGACGTGGGCACTCCCCCTAGGAAGTGACAGCAGGCCCACGCAGAACACGGTGCCATCATCCACTCTCTGTCCCTGGGGGTGACAGAACCCTGCTTTCTGCTCACAGACGCTGGCTCTCTATTGCCCACACCCACCCCCTCACATCCAGACCCACTCAGACGCCTTTGAACCACTCTCCAGCCTGCCTGGGGCTCCAGACAGACCATGCCAAGGATCCCAGAGGGAAGAAGCCGGGAGGCTGAGCACAGGGCTTCCTTCCAGACAGAGAGGAAGAGCTTCATGCACCCCACTGCAGAATCCTCGCCTTCTGGAAGACAAGGACATGGGACACCAGGGACCCAGCCACTGCTCCAGTGATCCCTCCCTTCCTGAGTGGGTCATGGCTTGCTTTTGTTTTTGTTTTTTTAAGGTCTCACTGTGTGCTAGCCACCACTCCAAAATGAAGAAGTGGGTTCGCTCTGAAGCTTCAGCTGCCTGGTTAGAATCCCAGCTCAGCCACTACCAGGCTCTGTGACACTGGGCACGTTGCTTAACCTCTCTGGGCCTAGGGTTATGGCTCATGGAGGAAACTGCCTACGTGTGTCCGCACACTGCCTCTAAGTGTCAGCAAATGCTGCTGATACTGTGATTCCTACTTGGAGTGATGTGTGGAGGAAAGGTTTCGGGGCAGTGCCACTATGGCATCCTGGAGTCTAAGCATCAAGAAGCCTGCAGAGGAAAACAGATAAAAGTGCCCGGGGAGGGTATACGATGAGCACCATTCCCAAGAAACAGCAAGCCCCCCAGCACTGCAGCAGGACACGCCCTCCACTCCCCATACCACAGGAAGCAAAGACACAAAGGGTTAAACCCAGGGTCTCGCACGCGGTAGGCAAGTGTTCTACCACTGAGCTACATCCCCATCCCTTTTCAGTCTTACTTTGAGTAAAGGTCCTGCTAAGTCACCTAAGGCCAGCCTTGAACTTTCAGTCCTCCTGCCTCAGCCTCCCTTGTAGCTAGGATTACACGCATATGCCACCGTGCCTGGCCAAAGGTATGTTCTTAAAACAGGAATAAGTTCATGACACACAGAAACAACTAACCACCTAGGGAAACAAAAGTATGTTAGTTGAGTCATTGTGCATTTGTCAAAACGCACAGAATGTTCAACACAAAGAGTAACCCTTAAAGCATACTACAGACTTTAGTGAATGGTGATGTATTGCTAATTCACTACATCAGTGTAACAAGAGGGACCTCATTACATGCATGAGGGGTATGTAGGGCATCTAGGAACTTGCTGCCCATTTTTTCCTTCAAATCTTAAAATTGGTGAAAAAATTTACTCCATTTTTTTAAAAACTGGGGTGTTGGGGCACTATTCAGTAACCACAAATACAATTACAGAGCCAACAAGTAACCTTGAAGATAGAGCTGAGAGATTCTCCCAGAATGCAGTGCAAACAGAGGCTGGGAGGAGCCTTGAATGAGAACAAGCTTCTATGGACTCAGCCAGTGGTCGTCCAACACCCACCATAAGCCTGGATGTGCAGATATCTCTATAGTTTGTCACTTTTAAAATACTAGAAACAACCCAATGCCATAAATAGAATCATCAAATAATTATAGCAGTCCACATGCTGTAATACTGAGGCATGGAAAGAAAAAAAACAAGAAAAAAAAGCAGGTGGATCAGTATGCACTGGCACAGAGAGATCTTCAGGCCCACAAGTGTATGGGTATCAATCCCAGATACGGACACAGCAAGCTGACCAGCAAGCATGTACCTGTTCCCAAGCGTGGAGGCGGAGTCAGAAGCGTAGGACAGAGAAGGCAGCGCCTGGTCTAACTCCTGGCAGTAGTTTCGTCCAGCAGCGCCCTCTGGGGAAGGGAGGGAAGCAGGAGACTGAGGGGGTGTTCACCTTGCCTTACTGAATATGTATGTGCTGGCTGAGTCTTTTACCGAGATCCATTTATTTTCTGCCAGGGTTATACTCAAACTCAGTCTGTGCTCTGAAGGATTCCCTGTTCCAGCTGGGCAGCTGTGAGCACAGGAAGAAGGACCCACGGGGAGGGCAGCCAAGGAGGGAGGCGGGATTGCACACAGGAGCCCCTGCTCCACCATCGTCGTGGATGTCGATGTCACAGGAGACATGGGAAGCAAAGACTCATCCCCTCCTCCAGGAAAGTAACTCCTGGGGCGTAGCTGCCGGTTCCCCAAACGACTGGACATGTGCATTTGGAGGAGGAGGTGATGACAAAGAGGGCGGAGACAGGGCCTAGAGGCCTCTGCGTCCTGGGATGCGCAAGGCCAGGATGGCAGGAGGTGCCAGGGACGTGCCATATAAACTAGAGGTGAAACTAAAGAATTCAGCTGTATTTTCTTATTCATGTGAAGTGTGTGTGTGTGTGTGTGTGTGTGTGTGTGTGTGTGCGCTAAAAGTGGTAGCGTGGTGTTGTATAGGAGTGTGTTATGTGGGGTATGCTGTGTGTGTACGTGGTGTAGAGGAGGCCTGACAGGTACACTGCATGCGTGTGATGAGTTTGTGGAGTGCGGTATGTGTTATGTGGGCAGTGTGTGTGTATGTGTGTGTGATGTGATATGTGTACATGTGGAGTGTAGCCTGATGGTGTGTGGCGGACGTGGCCTGACGTGTGCGGCACACTGCGATGTGTGTGTAGTGTGGTGTGAGAAGTATTTGGTGTGATGTGTGAGGTGTGGGGTATGTGGCACGATATGATGGGGGTGTGGGGGGTGCGGTGTGTACACTGTGGTTTGCGTGTATGGTGCGGAGTGTGTGGTATGGGCTGTGGTGTGTGGTGTCAATGCCGTATGTGACTTGCGTGTGCATCTGCACACATCATGGACACACATGCATGGCAGATGACAGGCTGGCTAGCAGCCAGGACCTGCAGCAGTGACGGCTGTGCCCAGGCGGGGCTCACAACAGGACAGCGCTGCACGCCTGGGCTCCAGCAGTGCAGGCCCCCACGCACTATGAACCCAGCCGGAGAGAACGGGCCAGCCCATGTCTCCACCCAAAGCCATACTCACCACAGGGCTGACTGGGGTCAGGACAGAGCAGAAGTCCCCTGGAAGAAGTGATCTTTCTCAGGGTAGAGGAGGTCGGGGACACTCACAGGAGACCTGCCGTGAGCAGTGTGGCTGAGAGGTGACAGCACCAAGAGGTGGAAGCCAGGGAACGGGAGCAGCTTGGTGAAACAGTCCCACCCTCCCTGCAAACCGGGCAAAATACCTCCGTCCACACTGCAGCCCACACGTCCACAGGAGGACGAAGACACGCGTCACAGGACGATCCCAAACCCCAAATGATCATGCTGAAACCGCCTGCCATTTTGCGTCCTCCACAGCTGACACTCAAGCATGCAGTATTTTTACATACATTTCTTCTTTTAAAAATTGTTTTCCTTTCAAAGGCTCCTCCTTATTTAACTGAGTTCTGAGATAAGCCAGGGTTGGAAGCGAGCTGCTTTCCCAAAGTCAGAAACAACAGAACAGTATGAGCAAGAGCCCCGGGATGGAGGAAGGGGGTTCTGGTCCCGCCTCGCCTACATTTCCAACCTCTCCGAGGAAACACGTCTGCATAACCAAAAAGCTGACTCACAATCAGACTATACACAAAGGAAATCAAAAATATTTCTTTAAAAGCAGCAGTTCTAAAGTTTCTGCTCATGGATTTCCCCAAGAAGGGGGAAGAGCATGCAACTGACATCGCTACCAGGTGCAAGCCCTGATGTTCCTGGAGGCCAGTCGCCCACCATACCCCACCGGCCTGCAGCTGTCACCGAAGTCCAGACAGGGAGGCTGCAGGCAGGGCCAGAGCTGCCGGCATAGCTACTCATTCCCCGGAGCTCAGACCACAGCAAGTACTATGGCCAGAACAGAATCTGCCAGAGGGGCTCCACAGTCTCCAAACACACTGAGTGAATCTAGATCTCAAACTACAACTAGTAGGATTACTTCTCAAATGTTTACTAGCCCTGAAAATTCTCAAAATAGTATTAAAGTAACACGGAGACCAAGCCTGAAGAATCCCTAGGCAGGCAAGGCCAGCTGGCCTTGAGAAGTGACCTTCACCTTGTTTGATCTGCAAACAACTTCAACCGAGCCACTGCTTGCAAGTGCTTATATTAAGAAAAACAGAATTTAAACTCAACCAATCAGAAGCAACCAACAAACTTATATAACCAGGAGTTTCCTATGACCCAGGCCAAAAAAGGGACAACTATAACCAACTAATTTTTACTGTGCCTCAGTTTACTTTTTTAATCACTAAATGAATTTATAAATAGAATTTTAATTAAGACTAGCAACATCAGAATTGTACAGTTCAGTAATCCACATGGTTGAATTCTCAAATTACAGTTCTTAATCAAAAGTCAGTATACCACCAGCATGTTACAAGAAAATAAACAATTCTGTGAAATACTCAATTGGAATAAGAAATTCTTTTTTTAAATCAGGTTTTATTGGCACATTTTAGGTATACTTCATGATCACATTCATCATAGGCAATTTGTACCTGTATATGATATAACTTGATTCTTTCTTTTCCCATTCTGTTACCCTCCCTTCAGCCCCTCTTCCCCTCCCCATTCACAAAGGCTTTATTTCCATTTTTGTCTTCTGTTCTCATTTTTTTACTGTTCCTTTCTTTCCTTTTCCCCTCCCCTCTCCCTTGTTTCCCTCTCCATTTGAACATTTTCTTCCAGGGCTGGGGACTTAGCACAGCACCTGCCTGGCAAGTGCAAGGTCATGAGTTTTATTCCTGGTACCAGAAATAAATAAATAATTAATTAATTAAAAATTAAAAAGAAGAACATTTTCTTCCTATTTCATAATGCCCACTATACACTTTAGTCCTTTTTACACTTTCAGTTTCTCACACCAGAGAAACAATGCAGTATTTACGTATGTGTGTCCAATTTATTTCACTTAAGAGTATAGTTTCAAGGTCCATCCATTTGCCTTGAAATGTCTTAAATTTATCCTTCTTTGGCAGAATAGTACTCCATTCAATTAAAAAAAAAAACACACCTTCTTTATCCATTCACTGGTTGATAGGCATTTGGACTGTTTCCAAGATTTGGCTATTACATACTGTGCCACTCAAAACATGGGTATACATATATCACAGTGGTATGATGCTTTTAATTCTTTTGGGAAGATACCCAGAAAGGGAATAGCTGGGTCAAATGGGACCTCTACTCCTAGTTTTTTAAGGAATCTCCACACTGATTTTCACAGTGGTTGCACCAGCCTACACTCCCACCAACAGTGGAGAAGTGTTCCTTTTTCCCCATAGCCCTGCCAGCATTTGTTACTGATTTCTTGATAATACCATTCTTTCTGGATTGAGATGGAATCTCGGTGCTGTTTTAATTTGCATCTCTTGAGTGACCAGTGATGTTAAACACATTTTTTCATATATTTATTTACTGTTTATACTTCTGCATCTCAGACGTGTATTCATCTCAGATGCCCATTTTTGGATTGGGTCTTTAAATTTAGGGGGTCTGAGTTTTGTGAGTTATTTATATGTTCTCAATAGTAACCCTTTGTCTAGCAAACATTTCTTCCCATATGATGGGTTGTCTCTTCATTCTGTGGGTGGTTTCTCTTGTGCTAAAGCTTTTCAATAAGATGAGATCCTAGCTGTTGACTCTTTGTGATAGTTCCTGTACAATCAGGGTTTTGTTCATAAGGACTTTGCCTACACCAATGTCTTCAAGAGTTTTACCTATTCTATCTTCCAGCAGAGTTAATGTTTCTGTTTTAACATTTAGATCTTTGACCCATTTTTACTTTAGTGCATGGAGAAAGATATGGGTCCAATTTTAATCTTCAGCATATGCATAGCTAGTTTTTCCAGCACCATTTATTAAAGGGGCTGTCTTTTCTCCAGTGAATGTGTTTAGCACCTTTGTCCAAGATAAGGTGGCTAAGTATAGCTGGATACAAAGTCAACATTCAAAAATCAATAGACTTCCTGTCCATGAATAAAAAACTCACTGAGAGAGGAATTAGGGAAACAACCTTTCATAATAGCATCCAAAAAATGAAAGACATAGGAATCAATCTAACGAAGGAAGTAAAAGAACTCTATGTTGAAAACTACAGTACTCTAAAAAAGAAGATTGAAGAGGATATCAGAAAATACAAAGGTATCCTTTGCTCTTGAGTAGGAAGAACCAACATAGTGAAAGTGGCCATATATCCAAAATTGTTACACAAATTTAATGCAATTCAAACCAAAATTTCAACAGAATATCTCACAGAATTAGAGAAAACAATCCTAAAATTCATTTGGAGCCAGAAGATACCAAAAATAGCAAAGGTAATTCTAGGTAACAAAGCCAAGGCAGGAGGGCATTACAATCCCAGACTTGAAATTATACTACAGAGCTATTGTGATAAAAACAGCATGGTACTGGCAAAAAAAAAAATCCCAGATCTGAGGATCAATGGAACAGATCAGAAGGTGTAGAAACCACCTCAGTTTACTTTTTAACCACGGTCAGGCCCACAAACAGGAGCTGATGTGTCTTCTCTGCCACAGGAGCATCACTACTTGACCCAACACCCAGAAACTTCTGAGGAAAGATTGGCCCTGAGTGATCTGCTGCAACCCGCCGCCTGCTATACCATCAGGTCAAAGTACACAGCTCCCAGGGACAGCTTCCGCGGAGTGCCCTAGAAACCTGGGCCTGTAGATCGGAGGTCAGAGGAGAGTCTGTAGGATCCTAGAGGAAGGAACCAGGACCTGCACAAATCCTGGAGACATAA